TGGGGACGACGTTCCTCGCCCTTCCCGTACTCCACTGTCTCTTTTCCGATACCCTGTCTGCCCCCTTTCCCTATTTTTGCGTCTGTGCTTTAACACTAAATTCCCCCTTCTTACATGGCACATTTGTAAAATTCATAATGTTTCATAGACGCCATGAAGGCATTATATTGGAGGCATACATGGAGAATTAAATCAGCCAACACCATTCCGGGAGGCTTCCGGGGTATTTGATCCAATGTCAAAAATGAAATGTTTCATTTGTAGGACCAGATAGACACATGAAACTGGTTGGAGGATTGGGTGATGGCTTAAATTTATCATTTTGCTCAAGTGTACACTTGAACTCCGTCTTGGGAACAGTGGCAAGTGGGCATTGTAGTTAGTGAGGAGAGCATTCTTGGAGGGGGGGAGGGGGGTGATTAGACCATGAACAGTCTCCTATTTGTGTTCCAGGGGAAAAGGGCAGAATATTCTTGCTTGTGAAATGCTTAGTATAGCCAAAATTAATAAAGTGGTCTGGACATAAAGGCTGTCTTCACTCTTTGTTCTTTGGTGTTGGAAGCTTTTTTGGACTTGACTTTGCACATACAGCGTTCAAATATTATGGCATTCCTATCATTTTGATCTTTTAACCAGTAAAAACGTTTCATTAATTTATTCAGTCATGATTAGTGAATAAAAAAAACAAAGGATTGGGCTCTGTTGGGGAGCTCCCAATATTGCAGCACTGTTTTTTTAACTTTGATGTTTGCCGCCATTCATAACCTGTCTCGGCCTCCACTAAATTTGGTATAGCAGCTTTAAAAAAAAATTATATCAGTATTAAAACAGAAACCAAATACACACAACAAGCATTTGTAAACTCACCTCTGATTGACCAATCAAACAGGGTAGGGAAATATCTGAGTGACAATTTGCTGACACTGACTTTCTGTTGTTTTCTCCTCATGAACTATTAAAAATCTCAAAACTTCTGCAAAATGGGTACTTGACTAAACCTAACAACATTTTTGTTTATAAGGTGTGGGAAGGACTTGGTGTTGTGAAAACATGCAGAGATATCTTGGGTGAGACCGATCCAGTAAGTAGCACTTGTAATATTACTGTCAGACAGTAACTTTTAGTACTTAGAAATGTCAACAGTTAAAACAGTTCAAACATTTTCATACAGGCGACTTGTAACTTACTGTCTCAACTATAATACTGCTAGAGAGCTTGGAGCTAGAGCAAACTGGCAGGAAAAAAACACCATATTATTTATTTATTTATATTTAATAAGTATTTCTGACTATCCGCAGGCAAAATCAAAGCCAGGCTCTGTCCGTGGAGATTTCTCCATTCACATTGGAAGGTGCGTTGAATTTTCATATGAATCTGTTGAAAGAAAATGACCAGCACAGATTCAATGTTTTGATTTTGAAGTTGTTTCAAAAGTGTGGAGAATACAATCGAAGCTCTTG